AGCCATACAAAACTCTCTTTTTAAGCAGAGACAATTTCAGGGAGTCTCTGAGGCTCATCTGTTTGTCTCACAGGAAATGGAAAATACAAAACAACAAAAGTAAAATGCATTACAATGTCAGAGGGGAAGCACAGTTGATACTGCTTCCATCACTATGACTCTTTTGTTCCTTGCCACCCTCATCCTGTTGGGAGGAGACAGGTATGTGTTTTTAATTCCCAACACACCAACAGGAAAAATGAGACATGAAGTTCGAGCTGCTTCTCAGGGGTCACTCAACAAAGCAGAGCTTGTCCTGGAAAAAGCTCAGCTCTTCAAGTTGAGCCTAGTGGGAAAGACAGCCCCTCAGGGTGGCTCAGCTCATCGGCCGACTTCTGGGCTCTGAGAGCATGAAATCAACTTTGATTTAGAGCAGGGGTTGGCAAACTACAGCCCGAGGGCCAGATCCAGCTCACTGCCTGTGTTTGTAAATAAAGTTTTATTAGAAAACAGCGGTGCTCACTCGTTTACATCTGTCTGTGTGGGCTACCAGGCTACAAGGGCAGGCTTGAGTGGTCGTCTTTGGGCCCATAAATTTACTACCTGTTCCTTTACAGAAAGTTTGCCCATCTCTGATTTAGAGACGAGTCTGATGTCCGGATTTTGCTCCATCTCCCAAGTGTCAGCACACTCAAGTTCCTATTCCTGGTCAAACCACTCAACAGGGAGGTTTTCAGTTTGTTTGTTTTTTTTTTTGAAGAAACTGACAATCTTTGCTTCAAGTTAATATTATAGTTCAGAGGAAAAGTTCACTGGTTTGGTTTTGGGCTCCAATTAATATAGTTTCTCTGCTTTGGGGGGCAGACAACTCAGCTGTGGTCCTCAAGCAGAACATTTTTACAAACCGGGAATAAAGTGGGCAGGTGAGATGAAATGCATTTTGCTCTGGAGAATGTCTTTTATTCAAGCTTGGACACCATTCCTTCGAGCATTAAGATTTGAGGAGTCTCTCTATATGCCTCTGACTTAGCTAATCCAATTTTCAACCAAGGTCCAGACATCATTTGTTGGCGCCTAGCTCTTCTCAGCAACAGAAGTGCACCTTCTTCCAACTTCTTTCATAGACACCTCTTAAGAATGAAACATTTGAAAAGAAATACACAGTCCCCCCCAAATCTAATAGATTCTCCGAGTCTGTTTTTTGAAGCTAAATGCATCTCACAACAACAGTGGAGCCAACTTCAGAATTGAAATCCAGCTCACCAACTCTTCATGTAGATGGTACCATATACGAAACATTCGTCTAACTTTTGAAAACTTTTGATTAAGGAAATTTTCAACATACGCAAAAATAGAATGGTACAATAAACCCCCACACGCCTAGCAACCAGCTTCAACAAGGATCAATACTCTGCCATGTTTCCCCCTCGCCCTCCTTCCCAACTTTTTGTTTACTGTTTGCTGCAGTATTTGAAAGCAGACGTCGCACATCAGATCACCTCACCCGTAAATGCTTTTTGTTTCTGTTAGATAAGGCCCTTCTCCTTTGAACAAAACTGTGACACCCACTGTGACATCTGAAGAAATTAATAATAATGCTTAATATAATCTAACACCGAGTTCAAGTTTAATTTTCCCCAACTGCCTCAGTAATGTCTTTTTATAGCTGATTTGTTCAACTAAGGATCCAAATATGACCACATATTGTATTCTGTTGATAGGTCTCTTAGGTCTCTTTATATCTGCAAAAGATTGCCCTCATTTTTTTTTCACCCATCACTGGCACACACTTAAATTCTAATTGGCCAAGCGAACCTTACACGGAGTTCAGCCTCTTCAGCCTCCACGTGCTTTAAGCGACCCAGACATTCAGAGGCCTTCCAGCCCCTGCAGCACAGACGCGTCCAACTGCACGTGCAGTCCAGCACTGGGACCCTGCGCGGGGCCATCCCACACACTTTCTACTCTCAAGAGAAGGAATTTCAATTGTTTCAGTGAGCTAATTCTCGAAATTAAATCTTCTCTGTGCTGCGATGGCCCCAAGTCTCTGACTGATTTTATAAATCAAGGCATCCATCCATTCATCGTGGCTTCTTTTTGAAGTTAGCCAAATTTGATCAAGAATCACAAAGTAAATCAGACAAGCTTCATAATCCACTATTGTCACCAGTAATGATATTAATGGAACACCTAGATCATGCAGGTCTCTGGGTTATAGAAGGATGACCTGTGTCCCTGCCCAAAGCGACGTAAAGTTTAAATGGAGTGCTTACTCCATTATCTAGAAAAAAAATGCTCCAGAAGTACAACAGACTTAGAACCACCCGAATCACCTTGACGCCGCCACCATCAGGTTAGGAATACCTGTGGGGTCGACCAGTGCAGCAGAATAAAAAAAACAGAAGTCAGAAGCAACAGCGTTTGATTGCTAGTTCTGCCATTTCCGACCTGTACCATGCTAGATAAGTTTCTTCACCTCTCTGAATCTCAGTTTTATCATTTGTGAAATAGGAATAATCCCACTTCCCTTTACAGAGAAGTAACCCTTAACACAGAATCAGAAAACGTTGTACGAACGCCTAGCAATAATGATGATGGTTAAAACAGTAATAATAAAATCACTGAATATAACACTCATTATGCCAGGCACTGGGCTAAAATGTTTCGTAGGTACTGTTCCATCTAATCCTCGTATTAGTCCTATGAAGCATCACAATCCTTATGTCATTTTCCAGATAAAGAAGGTGAAAAGAGAGAGCAAGTGATCTGCTCACGCTGACACAGCTAAAGGCAGGAAGTGGGTCATAGGACCTCGCGGTTCTTGCTGTCAATCATGGCATGACAATGCCTCCCAAATACATATTTGGATAAATGCACAAGTGGGACCCAGGGCAGCATAAATAATTGGGAGGGCCTCCTATTACAGTTATTAATTAGAACAGTTATATTTAAAAGCCACAGGTACAGTGTCTAGAAGCCCCCATCTGTGCTCACAAAGGAAGCCTCAGGAGACTCCCAGAGTTGCCCCACGCACGGCATGGGGATGTTCAGGGCCAAAATGCTTGTTTCCCTCCTTATTGGGACAGCCGTCTGCTAAAGGGTATTTAAGGCATTCTTTATTACAAGTCTCAAACATTTGTACAAATAGGACCAAAGTAAAATCAGAAATTTTTTTTCTACATAATCTCTTCTTTCCTTTTTTGAACAGGAATGCAAAAAAGACAAAAGGAAGCTAGCCACCAGGAGAACGGTCCAATTGCCTGCAGCCACCATGCATGGAGAAGCCCGACATAGCCAAGTGGGCGAGGACAAGGAGGAGGACTGAGGCCCCAACCCAGCAGATTTCTTGGCCAACAGCCACGTGAGTAAAGCTATTTTGGACCTTCTCACCCCCCCCCCCAGAGTTCAATGACAACACACGAAGCTTCTGTATCACACAGTCAATGCACAGAATTGTTAGAAATAACAAAATGCTGTTGATTTAAGCCACTAAGGTTGGGGGTGGTTTGTTAGGTAACTGAAGTAGCCAGAAGTCAGCTTTTCCAGCCAGGCCAATATCGAATCTATGAATGAGAGGTGCCTTAACAGCAGCTCACGGCTGTTTATCAAGGGAAATGCTACATTCCTTCCAGTCAGACACCATTGGCTAAAACAGTCAGTTCTGTAAACCCCAAGCCTACACTGTACCTTGCTCCGCAGTGTTAAAAGAATGTTATGAATAATGATCACATTAATAACAGTAATGGCAGCTAATCTTTACCAAGTGTTTTTTATGTCCAAGGCTTCACACTAAATCTTTTATTATTTAACCTTCACCAAGGCCTTTTGAGGTGGACCGCTATATGCGCATTTTACAGATCAGGCCACTGAGGCTCAGTGACTTGGCCAGGATCACACAGCCGGTAAAGAGTTGCTCAGGACTTCACCCTCTGGCCATCTGACTCCAGAACCCAGGCTCTTAACCACTGACCCCTTCAAGTGTCATTCTCCTTTAATAAAATTGTCTCCTCCTAGAGATAATGTGTGTAAGGGGTTTAAACTGTGCCTGATCTCTGGCATTTTCAGCAAACACCAGCTCCCATCAGTAGGAAACTTGTGATGGGTAAGGGTAACAGTAAGCTCCTGATTAATTTGTAGTTATTTTGATGGTTTGTACAGGCCTCCTTCACCAGCAGGCATCCTGGGGTTTGGTGATTTTCTGTTTACAAGTCTGCTTTCTCCCTGAACCATGAGCTCCCTGAGAGCGGGTCCTGGTTTCTGGTTCATCTTTGTAGGTCCAGGGCTCCACACGTGGCCCCGCCCACAATAAGCAGGTGCTCCCTAATAAGCAGGTGCTCAAGAAATGTTTGTTGGATGGAAGGGAAATACTTCATTCACCACGAATGCGAACTTGCATTTCCAGGAACCTCTGCCTTAGCCATCAGTCTTTAAAGTGATTCTAAAGGAGAGGGCAGGAAGGGTCAGGGGAGGGAGCCCCACCAGGGAAATGCAGGTGCCAGTGGGCTCCTTGGGATGAGACGGAGCTGGGCTTGTGGCCAGGACACTTGAGAAGTCTGTGCAGCTCTGTGGTCGGCCACACGCAGAGAGAGTAGGATCTTTCAAACTCTTCAGCACTCTGAAAGGTCCCAGGGAAAAAGTGGAGACCCTAGGTGGAAGCCCCCCCACCTGAAGGTGGCCACGCCTCCTCTTGCCCAGAATCACTAGGACTTGAGACTGGTCCTCCTGCTCCTCCTGGGCCTCCACAGGAGGAGGAGGACGACGACGACGAGAAAGAAAGTGACAGGAAGTCAGAAGTATCCCAACAACAAAAATCCTCCCTGCGGTGGGGACGACTCCCCATCCTCGGCTGCCCCTCCCAATGAGGAGGGGCCGCCACAAGTGATCAAGGCAGTTGGGGGGGTCCCACTATTCTGATCCCAACACAGAAAGCCCAACCTGTAGCTCCTACCCCTGCGTACCGTGCACCCGAATTCTGTAAGCGGCTCCCAGGGAGGGGAGGGGACGCCCCAACTGTTACTTACAATCTTCTAAGTCATCCTGCAAGTCCACAAAGTACAGGGGGATCTCTGAAAACCAAGAGACACACAAGAAGTTACGAGGGGGCTGCGGCAGACGGGCTCAGGGGCGTGGCGGGGGGGAGACCGGGCCTCTCGGGGGTGGTCCCGGCTTGGGGGGGTGGGGGGTGCCCGGGGAGCTCGGCCCCACTCACCCGCCATCTTGGGATGGGCCTGGAGGCGAGGCCGGCGCGTGAGGGGCGGGGCCTGATGCATGGGGCGGGGCCTGGGGCTTCGGGTCCCGCCCCTCGCCGCCGGTCCCGCCCCCTAGGCCCTGCCTCCTCGCGAGCCTCGCGGCGCCGGCCGGCCCCGCCCTCGCGACGAAGGTGGCTGCCGAGGTGGGCGGGGAGGTCAGGTGACCCGATCGTCGTCCCAAGATGGCGGCAGCGGTGGCGCCCGGGAATCCGCTGCACCGTCCTGGCTGCTGAGGCGGACTCCTCGCGTCTGGCGACGGACGGGCCAGGCCGAGAGCCGGCGAACGGGCGGCCGCCGCCTCTACGGTCCCCGCAGCCGGGACTAGGCCGTGCGGCGGCGGCGGCGGCAGCGCCGGGGGATGCTCGTGCTGGGCCGGGCCTCTCTCTCCTCAACTTAGGGCGGCGGCGGGCCCGCGCCCCTGGCTCCCGGGCCATGGCGCTGAGGGAGCTCAAAGTGTGTCTGCTGGGGGTGAGTGGCCGCGCGCCGGCCGGGAGGGCCGCGGGAGGCCGGGCGGGCCGGGGACCCAGGCGTGCCCACGTCCCCTCCGCCCCTTCCCCCAGCCTCGGTTCGGGACACCGCGTACCTGCCCTGGGACCCTCCCTCTAGACCCCGGGTCGTCCTGCTCACCTTACCGCACCCTCCCGAAGGTTTTCCGGGCGGGTGGGACCCAGGGGCCCTCCCCCTTGTCCCTCCCTGGATTCAAGGACTCTGCCTGCGCCCTAAAGGGTGAAGAGCCCTCCCTGCCTCTCCGTTGCATCTAGGTTAAGAGCAACTCTCAAATAGTTTCCTATCCAGGTACTAGTTAGGAGTTGGCCAAGTGTTCCAAAGTAAATACAGTAACAGGTCTTTAGGTTTTACAAGCAGCATTAGTCTCCTTTCCCGTCTGCGTGGTGTTTTTGAACTTGTGGGATACTCCTGACACTTCAAGCAGAGTTACTTTCCTGGGGGCGACGTTCAAATCAGGAAGCCCCAAGCCTAGTTTGAAGCTTCAGCTTCCTGTCCTGTCCAGACAACTTTGCTGTTTGGAAGCATACTTTCTGAAGCTGACTCTTGCCCGAGTCGCTGCTTTAAATACTGAAAAAGATTTCCATAACTAGCTCTTCCCCTTCTCAGATAGGGTGGGGCTGAGATTTATCAGGGGTTACTCAGAAGTAATTCAAGAGTTCATAGTTTACTTAAACATGTTAGAAAGCAAGTGAGTGTCACTTTTCACACTAAGCAGAATCTTTGGGTCTTTCAAAAGGTGCTAAGTTCTCTTAAAACTTAAAACCCCTCTCCTACAATACATTTTGAAATCTACTCCACTGAATTTTTATGAAAACCTCTTTCATGTTCCTTAACTTTTAAAGTTTACTTATCTAGGATGATTTTTCTAAAATTCTGAAGTAATGGCACAAGGTAGTTTTTGGTGTCTGCAAGCAGGTAAATTTTTTTCTTATTTCCCTGTCTCATTCTCTTTCAGGATACAGGTGTAGGTAAATCAAGTATTGTATGGCGATTCGTGGAAGACAGTTTTGATCCGAACATCAACCCAACAATAGGGTAAGAGATTAAATTTATTGAATATATATCTAAAGGTGTATTGAAAGTTGTTTCAAATAAAAAGTGTGATATGGGGTAGGCGTCGCCATGTTAAATGCTAGTAAATTTGAAGACAGTGGTTCCCATCATCTCTGGAAGGACTTGAAACAAGACAGTGAGGACTGGAAGTGTTTTAGGAAAATTCTTTCGATTTGTGAGGAGGAAAAACTTCCAAATGAAAGTATGAATTAAAGTTTTACTTGTTAGAAGATACCTAGAGCCTTCCATCAATAAATACCAGTTACACCTTGAAATAAGGCAGAAGAAAACAGGTCTTAATACTTTTTTTTACCCAGAATGTCAACTGACAGATGTTTTAGATGGTTTTGGTGCTTCTTGAAAAGTAGGTTAGGGTCTGAACTCTTCTCCCACATTCCTGCACTGGTAATAATGATGAATTAGGAAATTAATGTCAAGATGTAAGATTTGGGGGGGTATCTGGTTCTTAGGGTAAGTGACAGACTGTAGGTTTTTGACTCTGTGAGAAAACTTTTCAGGGTATTTAAGTATCATAATATTAACACTTTCTCTGTGAGAAGTTGTGTTTTATAGGTTTTAATTCTTTGTTAGATTTGTAAAACTAAATAGCTGCTATGCTATTTATATTGCAAACCCCCAAATAGTTTCTTCCATTTAAAGAAAGATTCTGCCTAATAGGGAAATATTTTACAGTAGCCACATGCACATTTGAAGGCATCAAGATGGAGCAGTCACTTTGTGAAATTAAATGCCTTTCAGTAGCCTTCAAGAAAGAACTGGGTCTGTCTGCATGTTTAAAGTGTGAACTCGTCCTCCTCAGGGCCTGCCTGTTATTACCTGCGTGAGAAGGTGACAGGACAGGAAGTGACAGCAAGTAGTGTTGGTGACTCAGTGACTGACATGCCTCACCCTGAGTCAGTGTTGAAAACCCACATGCCACGGTGGTTAGAAGTGCTCGCTCGTGGTTAGAAGTACTCGCTCGGAGAAGCAGAGGGGAAAATGAGGGGAAGAGGGAGGCAGTCCGGCTCCGGCAGTCATGCTGAGAGGCCTGTGGCCCTTTCCTGGGCGTCCAGCCCTCCCAGCCTGGCAGGTGCTGGGGTTCTTAACCTGCTCGAGTGAGTCTCGCTCTCTTCCCAAGTAGTCTAGGCTGACATTTCACAGGAAGGAGGAACACAGGCTTTCCCATCACCTCCGCCCTGCCTGGTTTCTCTTTCCTTAGCAGGTGTCTTCCTCCTTCCTGACCACCTACACCCACAGCTGAGCTCTGGAGACCCCCCTTCGTCAGGTCTCCCCTTTCTCCCCCAGCCCTGCCTTCTTGTCGGAACCTGCAAACCTGCTCCCAGTCTCCCAGTTCCACTAAGGCAGGCCTGTCCCCCAGGCCCGCCTTAAGGGCACATTGTGGAGCTCTCAAAAGAGAAGTTACCACTTCCTCTACTAACCCACTCTCCTGGACCCACTGCTGTCTCTGTCCCACCCCCGCCATTCCACTGAAACCACCGTCCCTCGGCACCTGTTTCCATCTCATTGCTAAAGCCAGCAGCTTTTTTCTTTATTCGTTCGCTCATAGTGTGCCGACTGTCTGCCAGATGCTAGACTGGGTGCTGGTAATTTAGTCCAGGGCTCAGCAAGCCCTGGCCCTTTGGCCCGCCTCCTGTTTTGATAAAGTGTTATTGAAACAGTCACACCCTTTCCTTCACATACCATCTCCACTGCCTGCAGGCTGCAGCGGCGGAGTTGAAGAGTTGTGACCAAGACCCCTTTGTGGCCTGCAAAGCCAAAAATATTTCCTATTTGGACCTTTTCAGAAAAAGCTTGCCAATCCCTGATGTAGATAAACTCTGTTCCTGCCCTCATGGTCTCACCTGGAAGGAAGAGAGAGCCATTCTGTAACTAACATACGGGAAGTGATGTATTTGACCATTTTCTGTGCTACCAAGGAGAAATGTGGAGAGCGTGTAACCGGGGCCTGGCCTAGGCCTGAGAGGAATGACTGACTCCTCAGGGAAACAGTGAAGGTACAAGGCACTTGGCAGCCCTGACATTTAAGTTCTGAAAGATGAATGGATTATATTTCAGTAATATAGATTAGGGGACCTGGCATGTTGGAGAGGTGGCCGGGAGGCTGGCGAGGCAGTAGGGCCAGGCCCTGGAGATCTTAGGGCGGCTCTGACATCGCTACTGCAGGACATCTTGGACCCCTGTCTTCCCTAGTTCTCTTCCTGAGTCCATGATTGTCCCCTGTCCACTGCTCACCTTACCGTTGTGATGGGGTTTAACTGTTTTCTCTGATCCTTCTTCCAGATTTTTTCATAACATGCATATACTGCTAATTCTTGATCCCTTTCTCTTCTCCGCCCCCTCCCCCCAATTTTAGACATTATCTGCTGATTATTTTCTTTGGAAGATGGGAATTTAGTCATGGGGTTCTCCCACCTCCCTCTGCACATCTGCTCTCCCTCCAGCTTTCCACGCAGCCTTTATTGCTAAGGTAGTGTTTAGAGTGCAGGCTCTTAAGCCCGGCTGGCTGCCTCTGCCTCCCAGGTCCAGCACTCAGTTGCCCGTGACCCTAAGCAAATTGTTTAACCTCTTTGTGACTAAATTTGCATAAAGTTGTAGCTAATTCTAGAGTTACGAAAATCAAGTTAAAGCACATAAAAATTACCTAGGATGATACTTGGCATGTGTAAGCATTTGCTATCTCTTAGCAGTTATTTTTTGGTAAACTTTGAACACTGTGGTTTCTTTTACGTATTCCATTTACCTAATCAAATTAGTGTATATTGTCTTGTGTCTGCTGCTTTTATTCAAACATTGTGAGATTCATCCATGTTGTTTCATGTCATACTAGTTTATGCTTTTTCATCTCTGTATAGTAGGCATCCCATTGGGTAAATTTCTTCTGCTGTTGAACATTGTGGTTGTTTCTAGTTTGGGGCTCTTACAGATGATTCTGCCAAGAACATTTGTGTATGTGTCTTTTGTGCCCATATGCATGAAATTTCTTGGGGATGTTGGCAGTGGAATTCCTGGGTCAGGAGGAATATGCATCTTAACTCTAGTAGGTGTCTTCTGAAGTATTGTGCCAGTTTATATCCCTGCCAGCCGTGCCCGGGAGTTCTAGTTGCTTCATATCCTCTGCATCATCTGGTGTTACCAGTCTTTTCATCTTAGCTGTGTTGGAGGGTGGATGGTGGTATCTCATTCTGGTTTTAATTTGTTTCCCGTATGACTGAAGCTATTGAACACTTTTCCATATGTTTATTGGTCATTTGGATATCAGCTTGTAAAAGTGTCTGTTCACTTTTCTGTTGGGTTGCCAGTCATATTCTTAGTGATCTGTAGGTGTTGTGTATGTGTTCTGGACGCTAGTCATTCATTGCTTCTGGGGATTGCAGGTCCCTTTCTTGCACTCTGACTGATCTTTGCACTCTCTGAAAGGATCTATTAAGGACTGTTGTTATGTTTAATGTGGTCCATTTGATCAATCTTTCCCTTTATGGTTAGTGCTTTTTATATCCTGTTTAAGAAACTTTGATTTACCAAGGTCATGGAAATACTCTTCTGTTATCTTGTAGAGATTTTGTTTCACTTCTCAGATTTAGATTTAAATTTTACCTGGAATTGATTTCTGGATGAGATGTAAAAAAAGATTAAATTGTGGGGGAGGGGTTTGGGCTTTTTTAAAATTCCAGCAGGGATATCAATAGCCCTCATGCCCTTTTTTTTTTAAAAGAGCATCTACAACCCACTGCTGTATACTTGCTCTGTACTGAGCCATGATTGTCATAAATTGAGCATCTGTATTTATAGTGCTCTTTTTATGGATTTTTTTATTATATTCCATTGATCTGTGTTTTTAATTGACTTAACTGAAGTTTAGTTTACATGCAATAAAATGCACTCAATTTTAGTGAACATTTTGATGAATTCTGACAGATTTAGACATTTGTGAGATCACCACCATGATCAAGATACAGAACACTTTCTCATTCAGTCTGTTCCCCTTTGCCCCGTCCTGTGTTCATGCCCACCCCACCTCTGGCTCCAGGCCCGCTGGTGAGCTTTCTGTCACTATAGATTCTGTTTGTCTTTTCTAGAGTTTTCATATAAATGCAGCTACCACTTACATACTTTACTGTATCTAGATAATTTCTTGAGATTAATCTATATGATTGTGAACACTAGTAGTTCATTCCTTTTTAATTACTGAGTGGTATTCCATTGGTATACCACAATTTTTTTATTTATTCACCAGTTAATGAACATTTGAGTTGTCTACAACTTTTTACTATTATGAGTAAAGCTGCTGTAAACATTTATGTGCACATCTTTCTATGAACGTATATTTTCTTCTGAAATTGCTAGGTCATCTGCTAAGTATATGTTTAATTCTATAAGAAACTGTCAAACTGTTTTCCAAATTGGTTGGGCCATTTTACATTCCCTCCAGTGATACATGAAAGTTCCAGTTGCTCTCCATCCTTGCTGATGCTTTGCATTGTCAGCCTTGCATCTTAGCCTTTCTACCGAGAGCTTGGTGGTGTCTCCCTAGGTTTCATTTGTGTTTCCCTGATAACTAACAATGTTGTGGATCTTCTTCATGTGCTTATTTGTGTCTGTTCAAATCTTTTGCCCATTTTTAATTGGGTTGTTTATCACTTCTCCCAGTCTACACCTCTTTATTTTCTTGGAGTATCTTTTGAAGAGCAAAGATGTTTAATTTCGATCAAATCCAATTTACCAATTATTTTTGTCGTTCATGTTTTTTGAGTCCCATACATCCAAGGTCACAAAAATTTTCTTTTGTATTTCTTCTAAAATTTTTATAGCTTTATGTTTTAAATTTTATTTTTATGATGTTTCTACTAGCTTTTGTTCACCATGTGAGAGGAGTTCGGGCTCTTTTTTTTTCATCTATCGATCCAGTCATTATGGCAACATTGGTTAATGTTGAATTCTGCATTCATTTAATTAAATTACCT